CCAACCGTACATCACCAGAGGTTCAGGGCATTTATAAGTGAGTCTGACATAAGCAATAGTACATACCAAGCAGTGTTTCTAGAAAATAAGAGATAACTTACGTGCATGATCTCCCCGTATCTTCCCGATGCACATGAGCTTGTGCACCCGTATAACATTGCTTACGATCCTTCAAACCATTACAATTCGCTACGTAAATCCCCGGACAAGCATCACATTGTGCTAGAAAATAACTCAAACTTCATCAAATTCAATTTTCACATTATAGCTTATTGCTAAATATTTGCTCACCATGAAAATGTGGCTTACTAGGACCACCTATAGAATGTTCGTTCTTGATTGCCATACAAGCCAATGTTACCATTAAAATATTGGCGAAAATGCATATCCAGTGCGATAAAGAAACCATAGCGCGCAAAGTGAAATCAAAAGTAAATCGTATTTGGAGAACGCCTACAGTCCGGAATGACCAAGTTTCAGCGATCTTTATAGAGAAAACGGAGACCAATCCTAGCAAAGGTGATTTATAGTGCATCAGCTGCAGCAATCTGTTTTTTTAAGCCGTCTAATATATGTAATATAATAGTAACGTAGTCAATCTGATCTGATTAATTGAAATTGAACGCAACCTGCCACTACCTTCCACCTCAAGTTTTCATTTCAGCTAAAAACGCCATTTTAAGTTAATTCTTGAATTTTTTTGCTTTAGTATAGCTTCTAGAAACGTGCAACTGCATCTCTCACTGAACTCTGCCATAAATCTTTCCATAATTAAAAAAGCATTTGGAACTTGGTCTGTTTGGACTGTAAATGCCCTTTTTAAAATTATGTCTGCTGCAATTTTTGGGTTATGGTTTACTTATCTTCCCGTATAAGGATTTTTTTTGGATGGAGCAAAAAACGCTTTTATCCTCATCATTGTTAGAACTCCGCTGATCCTCCACGCTATGAAGAACAAATTATGCTATAGAAGTTTAGCCAAGCAACCGTTGTTCAGCGGATTGTTTTATAGGGTCAGAAATTTTTAGAGCATACGTTTCATTCTACTAGAAACTTAAGCAATTATGGAATATTCTGCAAAGCGTAGGGTTGTTGTGCTTCTGTGTGTTGAAGCCATACGTGGACATGTTTACAATAGACTACGAAGGTCCCGTTACTATGGACCTAAGGATAAATAGGGCAAATGAGTCATTTTATAGTTTTATATTCTAGATGAATCGCTAAACAAAGCTACCTTAACATATAGCACTCCATAAGCCATTTATGTCTTCATTCTTCTATAGATATTACCATATCCCATCAACTCAATCATAGGATCTTCAAAGATCAATTAGATATCTGCAAGGAACTTAGGTCTTCAGATTTTCCGCGTCTATATTTGACTAATGTCTGCGTCTAATCCTCCTCTATCGTCATATCTTAAAAGTTAATTGATAGGTGTAGCTTCCGATTTTGGCTCACCCAGCCTTTACACGATGAAAAGTGGTCAGAGAAATAGTCAGCTATTAAGAAACTATTTTTGAAAACATTAAATAACATATTATGGTAGACAGCTTTTTTGAGCTC